CACACTCCGACGTTCACGTTAATATGTAACATGTGCAGTGCAATGGGCACAATCCTCAGTTTTGCACGTAGGCGCATGTTTGTGTGTGCATGTGGGGGACTTGAATTTTTAAATATTATTTTAAATAACAAAAAAGTCATGTATAAAAAGAAATGTAAAATAACACTTAACTTTGCTATCACATAGGGGGCTTCTTATCCCCTTATGTGATAGCAAATAAGATGCAACAGGTCCTCTTTATAGATACATCAGGGGCATTTCAGATCCCTAATGTCACCTAGGGACCCCCAAAGAAGCTGATGAAGCATAGATCTGCTTCGCCAGCTTCTCTCCAGCTACAGAAGCCGGAGAATGAAAGCCGAATGCGAAAGTGATGTAATAAACATCACTCCTGCATTCAGAGACCGGAGGGAGATCAGCGGGAGATTGTGTGCTGAGCTCGCTCCGATCTTTGTTCACAGAGTTGCTGTGCCAGTCTTGGGCCCCAGCACGGGGCACAGCGGAGCCCGGGATAGGCAGCGGCGGAGGGGAGGGCACGTGAACTGGCACAACATACAAGGGAACACTAGTATATAAACAGCCATCGCTGGCTGTTTAAAAGAAAACTGCTTGTATTTTAAACAGCCACCCACATCTAGGAAGCCACAGGTTTCATTAGAATAATATCTGGTGATCTTCCAATGAATGTCCCTGTTCAGGCACTTTCTGCTATGGGGTAACAACAGTCCGTCCCTGTCTTCCAACTGTGCCCCTGCATAGTTACCCTGGTTTCCGAAATGTTTTCCCCCTTTATTGAGCAAAAGCAATATATAATACAAAATAATGCACGTATAACACAGGTGTGATCATTGAACCTAGGCACTCGAGGACCTTAGCTAAAATCTTAACAGTAGTAAGGCGCAAAAAACACACTTGTAGGTTTTTACCCGTTTTGGGGATCAGAACAATCAGTGCTTCACACAGACCAAGGAAAAGTACCTAACTCAAAAGGAATCACTGAACACCTTTAGCAATCTAGGAGCAAAGACATCAACATATTTCTTATAGAACTCTAGAAGAAATACATCCAGACCAGGAACCTTCCAAGAAGGACATAAACAAATGGAGTTAAGAACCAGAGGTCTTGCTGCACTCCTTACCGGAACATCCAAGAGGCCCCTGCAGACGGGTGGGTGCTTGTAGTGACCACGGACAGCACCGTGAATAAACACAAATGAAGAAATAATCTCACCAGCACACCATAAAAGTGATTTTAGCAATAGTCTATTTGATGACACATTGCCATTCAATGCAAGCGCTTTCGGGCCCTCAAGGGGTCCCCATCATCATTCTGAGCCTGATGAAGGGGACCCCGTGAGGCCTCGAAAGCGCTTGCATTGTGTCATCAAATAGACTTTTGCTAAAATCACTTTTATGGTGTGCTGGTGACATTATTTCTTCATAAACAAATGGAGTTCATAATCTCCTCGAGGGGTAAAGTCATGGTGCTTAGAAGTGAAACATTGGGTGGGGGTATCTAATTGAGAAACCTCAGTATCAGACTGTAAGGCCATTGACTCCAAAAAGTAAAGCCTACGGTAGTAGTGAGCAAAAGTTTTATTGATATCTGCACGGGCAGGGCCCAAGGAACCATCGGGACAACATACAGCAGGGATTGTGGGCGGGGAGGACTGCAGTTTAGTCGAATAAGCCAACATGGTGCTGGATCGGTTTTCCCCCCCAATCAAAAACTGTTTAGAGAGAAAAAAAGAAAACGTTTACTGCGGGTGCGTTCCTCATATAGTAACTCATGCTGTCTAAGGAACTCCTATCAACGTGCCCTATTAGAGGCAGAGGGATCAGAATTATAAGCCGACTTACAGTAGATGCCAAATCACAAAACATATTGCAAGAGTGCCTCTTAAGAAACTCTACAAAAGAGAATGCCCCTGAAGAAACCATTAAAGGTTTCTCAGACTTTTAAAACATCCACCACGTTAGCAATGACATCACAAAACCCGACCATTGAGGGGACAGATCCAAATCCTCAAAAATTAGGGAAAACCAAAAGAAAATTAAATTTCCAGAATATGAAGGGAGGTAATTGGCCCCAGTCTATAGAAAGTAAGAGAGGACTATGGTCAGAAGCCGAAAAGGAAAAAATACTGGGGTGGTCACTAAAGGAAGGAGGCTAGGTCAGGCCAAGGCCAGGTCAATTCTGGAATTGGGCGCGTGGGGTGGGTGCGTGGGGGGAAGAAACAGGAATATTGCCTATCCCCAGGGTGCAAGCAACTCCACACGTCGACAGAAGTTTAACGAATGTGGTAACAGAGGAAGTACCCATTGGAGCCTGGGTCTGGACAGAGTACCTGTCAAGAGAAGGGTCACACACACACCACTGAAATCACCAAACCACAGTGTAGGAGAATGTGGATGTTTTAGCATAAAAGAGGCATCTGCACGTATGGTCTCTGCTGAGTAGAGAGGCGGGATGTAAAACACCAAAATCGTGATGGATCGGTGGTCAATTGTACCATGTAGGAAAATATAGTGTCCAACAGGATCCAGTTTCAAAATCACATCCAGGGACAGAAGCAGGAATCAATGAAAGTAAGTAGGCCAAAGAAGGTACAACAGAACCAGAAGTTCAAAAGGGAACTACTACTATGACCTTACGGTACAGTAACTGCTCGGGATTCGATAAAACGATGCACCTCGTCAGGGAACTGGAAGGAAATTGCCTTTTCCTTAACTTCCACACGGAGTTTAGCATGATAGACCATAGCATAGGGAATAGTGAGATCTTTGAGCTTCACCTTAGCAGTGGTGAATAAGGTACATTGAAATTGCACCCCCATGGAGAAATCCGGATAGAATGATATATAGTGACAGGCTCATATTTAAGGGGGCACAGCATCCCAGTCGCGATAGTTGATTAACTTGGCAATAACAAACCGGGAGGTGCCTGCTTCACAACAAAAGACTCTGAAAAAATAGAACACCCAAACAATTAATTCAAAAGGTTTTCCAAGAAAGTTTCAGGGTGCATCGCCTCCCTGGGAAATCTGCCCCCCGAATGTTGGATGTTCAGAGACGGTTCTCCAGGTAGTCAGTCAGTCATTGGAGAGCAGACACTGTATTGCGAAGTTGACGCATCTCCGAAGTCAAAGGAGGCAACTTGTCTTCCACATGGCTAATATGAGACTTGGTCTCGGACACGCGGGAGTGAAAAGCCTGCATATCCTGCCGCAGGAAAGAGACATCGACCTTCACTTCTCGATCTTGGTGGTCAGACTGGCCTGGCAGGACTCAATGGCGGTAAGTATTTTAGGAACGTCAGTGTGCATGACAGCTGGTGGCACCTCAGGTAGCTGCAACAAGGCTGCAGAGTCCACAACAGGCCCCGGATCAGAAGTCTCCTCGCGGTGGAATTTATCCAGTGGGGAAGGAGTGCTTGGCGTCCTTCGTGAGGTGCCATGCCATGGAGTGGGTTAGTTTGAAAGGTTGCACGGCCACAAAAGTGCAGATATAAGTAACAGCATGAATAGCTATTGGATAATCTCTGAGCGGGAGCTCCCCAAAGCGTGTCCTACTCCAATGGCATCCAAGCCAAGCCCCCTCATATTTTTGTTTAATCATTTCAGTGGCACCTTAAAAGTCCAATTGCATTACATTGTTTAAGTTTTTCTGTTCAGTTTGAAAAGTGGCGCTGAGATAATTTCCCAGCCCTTGATACTAATGTTCCATCATTGCAACTAAGAAAATCAAACTAGGAAACGGCTGTTCTATACATTTCCAACAAAGATCTCCATATTATGAACTGCAAAGTACAAGATATACAAGTTCTCTGTTTTGTGGAACGCTTGAGAGTCTCTTCACAAAAAGAATAGCAGTAAAGATAGAGAGCTGATGATAGGATTTCTTCTCAGCACACAGCTAAACATCCTCACACTAATACGATTGATTGGGAATTCACATACTCTCAGGTATAGATTGTTCTACCAGGAATCCTCACTTCCTCTCGGAACACACTTTCCTAAAGAACTTAATGGTAAAATTATAATAGAATGCGCCAGAAATTGGTTGAGGAAAGCTCTTTTTTTATGTAACTTAAGGCTTGACATTCACTATTTCTGAGAATGTCAAGTACTTTCTATGCTTAATTGTTACAGCAACATTGTATCGAGATACAAAATCTTTTTTTTATAAAAGCCCAGCATGTAAAGAGTACAATTAAAGTGCATTTCAGGGCAAAAAAAACCAAAAATATTCATTGCACTATATGCATACAATAAAATGCTGCAAGTACAAAACTACAGAATGATCTCCTAGAAGTGTGTCTAACATCTCCTAGTGTGCTTCTAACTTCCTGTCTGGGCCTGCAGTGAAATCCCAACTAGCGTTGTCAGCCCTTCATGTTGGAATATAATTACTCTCTCCTCCAGTGTTTTTAAGATGTCTATAGGCATTCAAATAAAAACAACCAGCGCAAGCCATTGTACATTATATACAAGAAAGAAAATGGGATATTCCAAAATATATAATAATAACAATATATTATAATAATAAATGCATAATATGGCAACATTCCATACACATACCATAAATTTAAAGAACCTGATTTTCAAAATAACATCATTTTAATCCTCGTAAACCACCACTTGGATTTTATAGTAAGCATTATAGGAAGATCTTTGAAACCTAATTAGATGCCTAACCGAGATTGGAGGCTCGAACTCTCCGGAGCTCCCACCACGCCTTGCTACTCGCCGCTGTGGGGCGACCTTGCTGACCAATAGTAGCGGCAGAGGTCTGGCCAGATTTCGACATTCTAAGCGCTAGACTAGATGTAAAGGATCCTGCAGTGCTCTCGACAATGGGAGGTTGAAATTAGGCACCTTCTTTAAAGTGCAGCTGGTGGTTTACTCAGGATTTAAGTCACTACAGGTCACTCAGCATGTAAGTCACTACTAAAATCCACACTTTAAGCATTATCCCTTTTGCAAAATTATTCATATTACCTGCATTTATCTCTAAAAATGACTTCTGGCAAAAAATAAGGTGCGTCCATCTGTCTGGTCTCTATAACCTAAATAGGAAATAAATGTGGGGAAATAATTTATAACATGCAATCATTTGAAATTATTCTTACTAAATACATTACAAAGACCTTTACTCCTTTTTGTCCGCTGAGGAACACAGCAAGTCCTTAACCTTCGGGTTATACTACCACCTATAGGACAATTGTACACTGGCAAACAAACTGTAGGCCAGCCTAGGATGGCCCTTCTATTAAGGAGTTTCTTTTTTTTGTCAAGTGTCCTAGAAGGATGGACATCTTTTCTTCAGCTCTGCTGCTGTAAAAACTAACCTATGATTTTGCTAGCATTTTGCAAGACTTTTCTGTACCCCACTGCTGAAGGTTTCCCCTTTAATTTGTAGCTATTAGGCATGACCATCCTCAGCCTGGCTTTAAGTGCAACACCACTAGACTCCACTAGAGGAGACATTGCAAGGATAGCCTTGAAGTGACCTTCAAGCACTGGGTTCCTCATTTAAAATATTGTCTGTGCCGCTCTAAGCACGAGAAAGAAAATACGTTTTTTTACTCTCCAGAATTTTTTTCCCCCTGAGTCAATTGAGAGACACGGGTCCTACCTTTCTGTGTTAATGATCATGCTCTCTGTACTGCTTTGTTTACTTCCAGCATGCCTCCGTTTTGTAGCAAACTGCATTATCCTGGGCTGGTCTACAGTTTTTTGTTTTTTTTTTGTTTGCCAGTGTCCGTTCCTGCTTTAGGAGGCAGAATAACCCCAAGGTTAAAGATTTCCTGTGGCCCTAAATGACCACAAGAAAGTTATACTACGTTATTGACTAATTAAGCTTAACTTGTCCTAAAACATTTCTAAGGAAACAAAAGGGTAACTTATAGGGATGTTGTAGTACCTACGAGTACCCGTGTTCACTTTCAAACTGATCCTTTTATCTAGTTATCTGTCAAATGTCAGAGCCTCAGTAGGTATTATATAGGGATGCACCAATACTAGTGTATAATACCGAGTATTTGGGCAAGTACCTGTGAAGCCAGCTTCCTAGCCCATCTGGGCACACGGCACCAGGACTTGGTATTGGCGAGTACCAAAAAAAAAACAGTATCAGGGCCAGTTCCAGTTTTTTTTCTTACTCCATGCTTACACGCTGAAAGCAACTGTTTTCACTGCAGCTAAATGCCAGGAAAGAGGAGTTTGGACTGGTGCTATGAAGCAATCTAACTACCAGAAATACATTTCAGCTTCTCTGCATGGTATTCAGTGTATGCAGCGTAATTTCACGCTGAAGTTGCTAGAGGGCCAGACCATTATAAATAGGGAAGCAGGTTGTTTACCACGACAGTAGAAGTGATTTTTTTTTCTGAAGATACGGGGAAACAACGCGATTTAACAGCCTTTGAACGTGGGGTGATTGTTGGCGCTCGGAGCCATGGAGCGAGTATCAGCAAAACAGCAGAATTCGTTAAATGTTCAAGAGCAGCTGTTGTTAAAGTGTTTAAAGACTGGACTGTCAGCCGAAAATCTGGGTCTGAACGTGCAAATTGTGGCCGTCAGCGACTAGTCAATGTTAGGGCAGAACGGAGAGTGGCAAGACTGGTACAAGACAACAGAAGGGCAACAGTGCAGTGTCAGATTCCTCGCATCACCTTTCAACATCTCGTGGAGTCATCTCGTGGCCCAACGAAGTACTGATGGGGTGGTCATAATAATCTGGCCACTCAGTGTATATTGAGCTTTGGGTAACGGGAGGATGTTAGTATACGTCCTCCCGTCACCCTAAAGAGAACTATGGGATAAAAAGGTTACCCCATGGTTCTCTTTTAGTATGATTGTACTCACCTTACTGACATGCTGGCAAAAGGCAGGGACTGCAATCATCTGACTGAGGAAATTCAGATAAGCTGCGACCAGCGCCATGATGCTACATCGGTTAAACATCTGCAGGCTGTCCTCGTTAGTGATTGCTATGTCCTGCAGAAGAAGGAACCACATGGATTATGTTAGTTTAAAATAAAAAGTAGTGATAAATATCAAACACAAAGAATCCTGACCTATCATGTCACGTCCTAAGTACTGAAAGAGGTTAGCTGATGCGTGTACAAATTAGGCCATTATAAAAAGCCAGAGCTCTTCTAATATATCTATTTAAATCAAGCAGCTTTGCAAACAGAACATTTTACATTTCTCTTGCTGTCATTTCAGAGCTGTAATAAAATCACGGAGGGTTCTGCCTGTTCAAATTCACTTCTATTTAATTACTTTATTTAACAAAGGTATCTGTAGTGATGGAGATCTTTGCATGGAAGGATGAATCAAATTCAACAAAGTATCAATTTGTATGCCAGTACAAAATTGATTTTTTTTATTATGGATTTGTAGATCAGCACATGATGCTTACATATATTACTGATATAAGCAGTACTTCATGGAAAGGTGCATATTAGCAGAAGGACATTTGACACAAATACTAACTCATTGAGGGGAATTTATCAAAACTGGAGCAGACAAAATCTGGAGCAGCTGTACATGGCGACCAATCAGCTTCTCTTTCATTTTCAAATCTTAACTGAACAGAAGAGAGAAGCTGATTGGTTGCCGTGCACAGCTGCTCCAGATTTTGTTTGCTCCTGTTTTGACAAATTCCCCTCATTGTATTTTGGTATAACATGGTGGAAACTAAAAATGTATTCAAAGTCAGCTTTTATCCATGAATAATCTTCTAAAACCAACCTGTAGTGCAATAGCCACCCGGATCAGATCGATGACAACTTCTTCATTGGCCAGTTCGATGGTGACCAGAGCCAAGGCTGTATACAGAAGCTCATAGTTCTTATGTACATTGTCCTCCTCCTTACAGCCCAGATATATGTGACGATAAAGCTGCTGGCCGTGCTAAACAAACAGAAAAAAAAATGACACCAAGTTAAAGCATGCCTGCAATTATTAAATACCAGGTGGTGGCCATTTTCCACCTGATGTCATGCACTAACTCCAGAACAATCAAAGTAAACACAGCTCTGGAACTACACTACGTTGAGTTCTGGTCAAGTCCATCAAAACCTTCACAAAGCGGTGCTTGGCATTGAGCCCCTCAAGGATGTAGACCATGAATATACAATAAGAACTCTTAGTGTATGCTAAAATAGCCAGAATAGTCGTCTCATAGAATATGGAAGAAGGAATATTCTATTTGATTGTTAAGGATAAAATGAACAGGTGATGCTTTCATATGTAAAGTGTTTTATGCTCAGTGATCCCATCAGGCAAGATGATAATGTGTTTAGTGGTCAGAATTTGCGCCATCAAAAGGTTCAATTTAACCAGAAGTTATGTTAATGCATTTTAATGTTGTGTTTTTTTTTATTTTTATTGATTTGCATTGAAATAAGGAGAGAGCACATTACATTTTGGATCCCATTTAAACATATATGATAGACAATATATAGCTAGTAGTGGTTTGCCACATTCAGCTGGGCCTGTTCTTGTTCAAGTGACTTAATAGGTAGATAATCCAGGATCATCATCCAACCCCCAAGCCTGCACCTAAATAGTTCAGCAATAGCAGCTGCTGTACTTCTGTCACCACAGGTTCCCTTTAAACCCTTGGTTCTCAACTGGTGGGACGTGACCCAAAAGTGGGTCGCAAACCGATGTTCAGTGAATCGCCACATGCCTCCCACTTTTCTAGTTGAGAGGCTCCTCAGCCTAACCCCTAGCGCAGCACCATCAGTTCTTGCGCCAAGCAGCCATTCAAAATATGCTGCCCGGCCCCTAGTTTCAGCTTGAGGTGGGATGGGGCTGTGGCCACGAGGGAGCTCCATCCATACGTGCATTGTGACCTGGGTAATAATTGTTTACAGCTTCCTCACGTGTCATATAGGAGGTGCCTGGACCGGAATTACATCACATTCTGGCTCCCGACACCTATACAGGTTGAGGATTCACTCCAGTTTTCGTAAGGTACACTGGGTGGACCTTAAAAAATGTTTTAAAATTTTTTGGAATGTGTTTCTGAGAATGTCTGTGAATGTGTGAGATTGTGTCTGTAGTTGTGTGTGTCGTTGAGGGCTCGTTCACACTAGTACAGTGCATTTATCACATAGTACCGTGCGATTAATGCACTGTACCACACAATAGCACCTACTGTGCATTCTGGTGTGGGAGGTGTGTTGCGTTGCCATTCATTTGAATGGTACCCCAAACGCACCTCCCATGCACAATTTGTACACGGTACCCTAATGCCATGCTTTCAATTGCAGTGCGACTTGGGTCGCGACTTAATGACCAAGGACACATGTTGGTCCTGAGGTTACACAAGTTGAGAACTACTGCTTTAAATATACTGGTGTTAAAGAGACACTAAACTCAGGAGTTGCATTTTAAAAATGCATTCAAGTACCTTAACTATGAACAAAAATGTACCTTGTAACCTTGTGCACCTTTCAGCTGTAAATCCTCAACTCATCTCTGAATTAGTGCCGACACTGTCCTTTCTGGAGGGGGCTACTTTTGTTCCCCATGATCCCTCGCTCCGGTGATGGACTACAATCTCATGTTTAGTTTACTATTCAGATTGTAGTCCATCACAGGAGTGAGCTTGGAGCGGTGACTACTTTACAACACACACAGGGACCATGGGGAATAAAAGTAGCCCCCCTCCAGAAGGAAGGACAGTGTCAGCACCAATTCAGAGATGATTTGAGGATCTACAGCCGAGTGATACACAAATAAGATACATTTTTGTTATGAGTTAAGCTACCTGATGTATTTTTAAGATTTAACTCTTGAGTTTAGTGCATTAAAAAAATTATCTTTATAGAATTCAGACGCCATCATATCTCTGAGGTTTCTAGGATACAAAAACATCCGACTAGTTCCTATGGTCAGTGGGTCTGTGTCCGTGCTAGGGACATGAAAGCTCTCTCTTGTCATGATGCCAAAAAGTTGTCACCGGAGGGAAAATCTTCCAACGAAGATACCTGTTCAAGTGACAGCTAAAAGGGGAATTCTCCTGACATTGGACTGGTAAAGCTGCAATATATGACATTGCTGTTTTTTGGGTTCAGGTACGCTTTAAAATTCTACTGGGCGTTTTCACATATTTAATTTCTCTGCAATCATCAGTTCAGGGTCTGTAGAGGTCACATTCACATGCTTATTTGGAGTTATGAACTAAAATGAGGAACACAAAGCACAAAGCAAAATCTTTCCCTGATGGAGAAAAATAAAACATTTACCAGGAAGATTATGAGAGCTGGCCTTTAAATTTAATAGCGGGGAAAGGGCGCTCATACGCAGCGTAATGGAAATCCAGACTTCAATCAATTTGCGGTGTAAATAGGCATTTTATGAGAAAAGGACTTTAGGGAATAAAAATGAGATATGGAGAAAAGGGAGTAATAATGGGCTTCAAAGGCATGAATAAATAAAATCTGTGATGTGCTTTCCTATTGCTACTAATAGGTAGATTGATGGCCCTATTATTTTCCTTAATCATCTGTCATTTTTGACATGACTGCCGGCCCAGACTACTAACCCTCCCAGACTACTAAACTTTGCATTCTGGAGTTTGTCAGAAGAACTAGTGTGTCTGTGGGTATTGGGAACTGGCCTTGGCTTAGAAGGTCTGCTCAATGTCACCTGAAAGGTTTTTCTAATCCTTCTAGGTTTTATTAAAGCGGAACGAAACTTACGTGGTGCAAAAATTGGTTCGAGTTTTATGGCAGAAGAGAAGATCTACGTCTCCTCTGCCATATAACTCTTCCCATTCCCCCCCCCAATTTTTTTTTTATTGTACACTGGCAATGGGCAGTGCAGTGTACAATCCAAGCCTATTCTTGGCATCTTTACAGAGGTCACAGGGACAGAACTAGAGAAAATATTCCACGGACGACACCAGTCCGTACAGATAGTGATGAGCTTGGGCGTGTTCGCAAGCGCCTTGTGCCGAGCCCGCCAGGAAGCCGTCAGCGCCAATCACAGGCACTGAGACATGTTCCCGGTCCGCAGCTGCAGAGATCGGAAAATGGCTCAGTGCCTGTGATTGGCCCTGCGCGCTGACGGCTTCCTGGCGGGCTCGGCACGAGGTGCTTGCGAACACGCCCGAGCTCATCACTACTTACAGATTTTGTGAATAGGAGCTGGGACAACAGTGCGTATGAGTGACAGGTACGACATCCATGGCTGTCTAATGGCCATAAACAGAAGACACGAGAACCTGAAGAAGGCCGAGAGCTGATGGCAGCAGATGTGACAGTGGCGAGAGGGAAAGTGGAGCTTGCATCACCAGAGGAGTGCACTTTGGGAGGAAAGCGTGCTCTAATGTGCCAGTATGGTGTGTACACTTTAATGGAAAGTGCTCTGAGGGACAGCAAAGCAAAAGATCAGCTCACCGCTGGTATACATAACTGTGCAAAAGTTGTAGGCACGTGTGCAAAAAATGCTGTAATTTCAGGATCCTTTTAAAAATAATGCCATGTATTAGGGATGCACCGATATCGGTTTCTCGGTATCGAGTATCAATATTTTTTTCAACCCGTTACTCGCCGATACCGGAAGTCCTATTAAGGAAGCCAGGCAGCATGTAATGACTCGCCACCTGGCTTCCTGATTAGCCAGACGGCGTGTAAAGACTCGCCACTTTGCTTCCCGATCAGCAGGGAAGCTATCTCCATGCACTAGGTGACGAGAAGGCATGGAGCTGGCTTCCCGGCAAATCAGGAAGCCAGGTGCCACATCATTACACTGCGCCAGGCTTCCTGATTTCCTGGGAAGCCGGCTCTCTGCTCCCTCGTCACGAGGAAGCATGAAGACGGCTTCCTGGCCAATCAGAAAGCCATGTGACGTGTCATTACACAGCACCCGGCTTCCTGATTGGTCGGGAAGCTGGTCATTCAGGAAACTGGGCAGCGTGTAACGAGTCGCTGCCCGGCTTCCTGATACCGGAAGCTCAAGTATCGGGCTAGGCATTGGAGGATTTGGGCGAGTACAAGTACTCACCCAAATACTCGACATTGGCACCGATACTAGTATTGGTGCATCCCTACCATGTATAGTTTCATTTATCATTTAACCTATAAAGTGCATAAACCATTTAAAAAAAAAAAAAACACACACACACAAAAAAAAAACTACAACTAAGAATACAAAAAAATGTATGGATTGTGATAGCCATCATACTAGCAATGCTCAATTCTCAGCCCATCGCATGCAAAAATTCAGGAAAGCTAAATAACTGACATTTTTTAATCTAGCAATTTGCGTAGTTGAGTTTGGTTTTAATTATTGAACTGTCCAAGATCAATTTTCATAAACTTACTTTATTATGTAATAACATAGAAGAGACTGTTTAAAGAAAGTTGTGCATTTGCAGCCAGGTGACTCCAGGAGAGAGGATTCAGTCAGTAGAGAAGTACATATAGCACAGGGAAAGCCTCCAAACCCTGTTGACCTGAATGATGTGAACTCAGAATAACATTCATTTGTCGATACTCCTGAGTAACAGATGTAAGACTCTTCCGGTGGCTTTCAGCTCTCTGGCCAATTTCACATTGAGCTGACTTAGAAGGACATCCTAATGACATTTGTACTTCAACGAAGTACAGTCAAGAACATCGGTTGAATGGATTTTTAACTGTTGACCAGAGGCCATTAAAGCCTGGATCACCGGGCAAAATTTAGCAACATCAACATTTTTTTTTATTTGTTTAATAACACGTTTTGCTACATTGTATGCTTGGAAAAGAATGAAGGGATGGTGGGGTCTTATTTGCCTTACATTGGCTAAAAGTCATCAGGACCAGGTCAAGACTGTACCTTTGGACAGAAAGGAGTGCATAAGAAGAGAAGCCCATCAGAAGTTGGCTGCCTTAAACGGTCTCCAGGGGTCTGAATTTGGGAGAGGAGTGTCCATACACAACTGAAGGTTTGTTTCAGACCTTTAGCAACATTTTCATAAGTACAACAAGTAGTTTTCGGGAGATATAGACTAAAGCCTTGGTTCTCAACTGGTGGGTCATGACCCAAAAGTGGGTCGTTTTTCCCGTGTTCAGTGGGTCGCCGCATGCCTTCCACTTTTCTAAGTGAGAGGCTCATCAGCCTCCCCTAGCCCTGCACTGTCGGTTCTCACACTGAGCAGCCATTTAAAATATGCTGCCCGGCACCGAGTGTCAGCTTGGGGCGGGGTGGGCTGGGGGTATGGCCGTGAGGGAGCTCCATCCATACATTGCTTATAGCTCCCTCGCATTTCCTATAGGAGGTACCTGGACCAGAGTAACATCACATTCTACCTCACGTCACCTCTACAGGCACGTAAGGGAGCTGTACAAGCAATGCACATATGGGTGGAGCTCCATCACAGCACAGCAGCCCACACTGCCGTGCTTTCCATTGCAGTGCCACTTAATGACCGAGGATAAATGTGGGTGCCAAGGTTACACAGGTTGAGAACCACTGGACTAAAGGGTTCAGGACTTACCTTTTTTATAAAGTTCAAGTCCTGCCTGCTGATTTTTTCCCGCTTTATCTTGAGGTCACCAACGTCAGGAATGATTCTAATGGAAACAAAAAAACACAGAAACATTTTACGTTAATTTTATGTTTGAAAAGATCTATCTGATGATCACCCAGGAGTGGACATTGCCCTGTGTGAGCTAGGGGTCCCTCAAGCTGCTACAAAGTTCAAGTTCCCTGCTCACTGGAGAGCTCCAGATCATTAGATTGGGTGTCAGACCTCTGCAGAGAGACCACTGCTTTTACAGATAGCAAGGGCTCTTCTCTGCAGCATGCTGGCAGGAGACAGGCTATTCTACTCCAGCTGTGGCTGCTGTCTAAAGAAATCGACCTTCAGCCACCTTAGTACCAGAGCACTTTTGTAATTGTTTGGCACACGTACTAAAATCTGGATTTCTGAATAGAAAATTACTCTAAACCCCCCAAACAAGTATATATTTTCTTAAGCAGAATCCCAGTAGAATAAAAAGATGGTGGCTGGGGAAAAAAAAAAAACAAACAAACTCTTAAAATGTATTTTTAGTGCACACAAACACATTGTAATGCTTTTGAGGGTAAAATATAAAAAACAAACAGTTACATCGAGTAAATAGATACCAAACATGTAAAAAAAATGATGGCACTCAGAATTGTCCACAGGCAACACTTGAAAAGCATTTACCATTCATCAGTTAAGCGCCAACAGTGAATTATGGCACCAGAATTATTGCTCTCTCTCCGACGTGCACAGTGATACTCAACATGTGTGGCGCAATCGTCATGTTAAGTACACGTGCATGCCCTAGGCATTCATTCGCATGGAGATGGCAGTGGAATTGGAGCGGGTTTTTATTTTTTTTTATTGTTATTTAAATGTTTTTGTACTTTATTATTTTTCTTTTACGGTCACAATTTTTTTTTCCACCTAACTTTATTGCCATCACACAGGGGCTAACAATCCTCTATGTGATAGTCTTTGGAGGTGACAGGTTCTCTTTTTGGTCAAGCAAAACAAATGACAAACGCACTCAACAATTTGTCACCAACTATACAGCAATAAAAAGAATATCTTGCTGCACTCCTTACCGCAAAGGAGTCATTCTGAGCCTGATGAAGGGGACCCTTTGCGGCCCCGAAAGCGCTTGTATTGGATGGCAATGTGCCATTAAAATGGATCATTGATTTACAACAATGGTGTGCTGGTGACATTATTACCTTTTTCAACTATACAGCAAGGTGCACACGAGATGGGCTTAAAACAGTAGACAGTAGAAAGGCATCATGGCACACTCACAGGTTCTCTTTTTGGAGACATCAGGGGTCGATTAGACTCCTGATGTCTTCCCTGGCCTCCAAATACAAAAGATCGAGCATAGCATTGTGAAACCGGCACTTGAGCGGTGAGCAGCAAGCGTTTCAAATACAGCACCCCGTGCCTCACTAATCACAGAGTTTCCCTGGTTTGCTCCTGCTTTCCATCCTGAATGCATTTTCCATGGTCCTGGGGCCACCAAAAAAAGAGGGGAACCTGAAAACTTCGGCGCAGGGCGGTGGGGCACCACCTATGCAGGCTGCTACAAGTGATCTGGGTAGCTGTACAGCTACCCAGATCACTTGTAGCAGCCTGCATAGGGGGTGCCCCCCCCCACCCCCTGGTTTTTGGTATATATATTCAGGACCGCTATCTATCTATCTACCTAGGTCCTGAATTGGTTAGGACTTTGCATACCTTTTGTTTTGATGCACCTGAAAAGGTATTTACCTGGTTTAAACTAAAAGTTTAATTGGGCTTTATAAATACCTGTGCTGAATTTATTAGGTGTACTGCTAGCAAGTGTGAAAAAAAGGGTACCTAGGAGGTGTCTGTACTCTTTCAGACATGTTCCAAAGAATACTAGTAGCTCTGAAACCAGAGATGCTCAGTTATGCAAATAGTTATCCAAAAGGTAGAGTTTTGACTCCTTGTTGGTGCTGAATGAATGACCGACAATTTTTTGATGCAGCACTTTACATACTGTAACTTCATATGAGCCCTTGCCTTCAAGGAACCTACAAATCGTAGGCTCCCTACAAGCCTAGGGTCCCTATCTCACATAGATCTATACACGCACCCACATACTAGGGCCAATATGGGCATTGAGACAGGAGCCAAAAAACCTTCCAGCAGGTCTTTGGAATGTGGAAGGGAATCAGAGTGCCCACGCAAGCATAATGAGAACATACAAACTCAATAAATATATTGTCCTGGCCAGGATTTGAACTTGCGTGGGAGCAGTGGCGTAACAATCGACATAGCGACCCAGGTGGCCGCTATGGGGCCCGGGGCAAAGGGGAGCACGGCCATATGCCGTGCGGGCCGCCTGGGTTGCTATGTCATCTTATGCTGGTGGCTTTCACTGGCGGCTGTGAGAATAATGCGCTGCTGTTCAGATCACTGACAGTGATCTGTGCAGCAGCGCGTTCTTCTCACAGCTGCTGCGGAGTTAATGAGAGCCAGTAGCGGCGGTGGAGCAGGCTGGACCCGGCAGTGGAGGAGGAGGCAGGGCACGTGGTCGGCAGCAGAGGAGGCGGGGCCCGGTGGCGGAGAAGGAGGCGGGGCCCATCAGCGATCGTGCAGGAAGAGGAGGCGGACAGGTAAGGAATGTTACCAGCCCACCTGAGGGTGATCCTGCAGAGCCCACCATAGAGAGTCTATGGTGGGCTCTGCAGGGTCACCCTCAGGTGGGGTGCTTGGGATCTCAAGTGGGCTCTGCAAGGGGCATAACTAGAAGTCACAGGGCCCCATACAAAATTTTGCTATGGGGCCCTGTTATTTCTAATTCCCCCCCTGCGTGGGAGGGCCACATTTCGGAGCTTACATCACTTTTTGTGCCCACGTATTCCAGAAGATCTATGAAGTGATGTACCGTCCCCTCTAGGCGCCCGCCTTTCCATGCTCAACTAGCGGTTTGCTAGAACAGGCTTTAAGGCAGAAAACTGATAAAGACACGCTGCTCGAAGTGGCAGAAAATGCAAATGAACCTGCGAACAATGAAAGAATGTTTCCAGAAATTACATTTTCTCTTCAGGCTCATCGCGGATTCACGCTGCACCCGCAGAACAGCCAGTTCTACAGCAAAATGCGGAGTCGGGCATGGTATAAAATATTATCACTTAATTACAGCTATGTTCTGCAATTTTCATTCTCAATCTTCTGTGATGAAAACTGTCAAAATAATTAGAAAACCATCATTTCCGCAGCACAATATTTGCAGGGAAAAAGCGGTTCCTAGTAAACAAAAATACAATGACATATTTAATTATGCCAGCTAAGCGGCCGATAAGCTTTACCAAGGCAATACAGAATATTCAGGGAATTTTAAAAGGGAACCTGTATGAGGGGAACCCACTATCGATGGGCCACTTCTAAAACAAAAATTAAAATGCTCGTTTCCGGCCTGTCGCTGGCTTTAATGCTTTGAGACTCTGACTTGGAACAGATATCCAGGAAAGCCAGAGGGAAGTCACAGCTGATTGGCTTACCTTTTCTCAGGCATTGTCTTAACATTAACATATCTTAATTAGCATAACAGCCAGGGAATTAGCAAGTATGGTGGAAAATACTCGGTTCATGTTTTTATTAACTACCTTCTTGGATGTAACTGGGCGTGTATACACGTCCTGTTACATCCGCCTGCCCAGGTGCGCCGCGCGGGAAATGCCCGTTATTTGAAAACAGGCAGCTATGTAGGGCTGCAGCTAACGATTATTTTCATAATCGATT